CGGGAGCGGCCTGATACGGCCGCGCACGCCGCACGGATCTGTACGAGCTGGTTCTTATCAGTGGGAATGAGGCCTTAACCCCACACAGGTAAAATGCATATAGTACTGCAGATATCAGCACTTACAATCATTGCCGTGTGCCTCTCTTTCTAGTGCTGTAGTTGCTTGTTGTTAATCAATGCTCTCTCTCCAGGTTTGGATTTTCAGGCGTCTCTTTCTCTTACAGGGTTCCCCAGAGCAGTGTTAATATTGACGGCAAATTTTAATGTAGTCTTAGTTTTAGTCTTTTGACAAAAATACCATTTTAGTTTTAGTCGTATTTTAGTCATCTGAATAGTTTTAGTCTAATTTTAGTTGACTAAATCTAATGGGTTTATTTAATGTTCCATGCATTATTTAAGCAAGTCTCTAGAATTTCCAAACTCGATACATATCCGTGGAGTAAACCTCTATTAACCTGTTATGACTTACGGTAGTTGTGCCACATGGTTTACAAAGGGTCTTGTTGTAATTAGCATCAAATGTAAAATGCATCCATACATCTGCTCTTCTCTTTCTCTTGACACTGTACAGCTTGTGCAGCAAGTGTTTGCTAGCTGGGGTGCAGCTGGGTAGATCAGTAGGTTATTATTATTTAGTTGTGCATGTCTCCCTACTATAGGACGAGGAAGTCCAGTTGCAATAGTCCAACTAAGTTTTTTGTTTCGTTTTCCTTTGTCAACTAAAATTCTCATTATTTTTGTTTAATTTTCGTCCTATCAATTTCTCTATTAGCAAGGTTCCCCAAAAAAAACGGAATCCCAAAGTAGGAGCTGTCTATAATAATCAAACAGGTAATGATAATGTAACAAATTTTAATGAGAATTAATAATAAAGTAGAAAAACATATAAATACACCGTTGTGAAACACGTCCCTCTGAGGAAGCCCCGGTGTGCAGGGGTGAAACGTTAGGGTTAAACGTGTATACAGCCCTCCCTTTGTGCCCATGATTTTACTCTGCAGACTCTGCTGGATATACGGAATCCCTTCGGGGACACTGATGGCAAAGCAAACCAACCAAATCATGGTGGATCTGACAGTACTACCTTTACTCTGAATACTATCTGCTCACTTTTCTTTGGCTAAATCCATGCTGACTGGACCCATTAAGAGAAAGCTACACTCCTCGTGGATCTTTATTCACCTGCATTCGTTAGTGCGGCCGCACATATGGAATACAACTTTCCAGCTTTACTATCAAACACAGGTCTGAATACAACTACATAGGCAGGAGCCGACTTGGAGGATCCACAGCAGACCTCGCAGCAACTATACCAACATACAGGAAAATAAAGTTGCTGAAACCGGGGACCAGCAGTCTGGGACAGCCATTGTGACCATTACCTCATGCATGCTTGAAGTCTTTTTTGTTAGGAACTGTCTTACCACCTAAACCACATCAGAAGTGAGTAATTCCTTCTTTTTCTCTTCTTTGATACTGAGTATTTGCTTGCCTAACACAGCGCTTGTGTCCAATATCAGTGACTCTTAGCGACCACCATTAACGGTCACTAGATTCTCATCTATATCAATCAACACTGGGCTACATCAGGGAGGACTTGTTTGTCATTTTAATTGATTTTAGATGTTCTTTGTCAGTAGGTGTATTTATATGTTTTTCTACTTTATTATTAATTCTCATTAAAATTTGTTACATTATCATTACCTGTTTGATTATTATAGACAGCTCCTACTTTGGGATTCCGTTTTTTTCGGGGAACCTTGCTTATTATAGATTGACGCTGGAACCCAGGAGTTTTTTGTCCACTTTATTGTTATTTGAGGCGCTTCTCCTTTCCCCATTTTGTTATTCAATTTCTCTATTACTTCATTTTCGTTTAGCTATTGTCACTAAAAAACATGCAGATGACGAAAAGAAGGAAACATTTTCATCGACAAAACTAACACTGACCTGCAGACACCTTTGTGTGCACACTTCCGCTGGCTATGCAGCCTCCCTCTCCTGTCTGCGTCCATAGGACATAATGCCACTCTACAGAGGCGGCTCTAGACTTTGTGAGGCCTTAGGCGAAACTCAAAAGTGAGGCCACCTGCCACGCCCCTTCCCAAAACAAAGTGAGTAGTTCGGGTTGCGTTCCAGAGGCCGAGCGCCCTCCTTATTGTGGGACTGGGCCCTTAGGGCTTGTTCACACCAATTACGGTGCGTTCCAGAGCAGTAGCTGCTGGAACGCACCACAATCTCTCACAAAACTTCCCCCTGCGCTCTGGGGTGGGAGGGGGTGTGGCGGTGCATGAAGTCAATGGCACTGCAGCTACAAAACATTGCCTGCGTTCTGTTCCACTGCAAACGCAAAAAATGCTACTTGCTCTATTTGCTCAACTCCCTGTGTCCCACCGCTTGTATCAGCCTCCTCTTTGTCCTCCTCCGATGCCACCGCTGGCTGCTGCAGGAGCGGGTGCCTTTCATCTCCATGACACGCCGGGCGGGCTCTCTCCTCTGCAGGAAAGGAAGTGAGAAGTGGCGGAAGTATTTCCACCACCACTAGAGGGAGATGCCGCGTCTGAGGACTCGCTGCCGCGCGGCTTCTCCTTCTCTATGACAGTGACAGATCCGGGGGGGGGGTGGGTGCGGAGGCTGCAGGGAATTGCCGGCGCTCATTCTCCCCATCAGGAAATCGCTGCTTCCTCTGCCCCGGGGCTGACTGACCAGGTGAGGTGGATCTGTAGAGGCGAGTTAGGAGGCCGCGAGGCCCTCGCCAGCGCGAGGCCTAAGGCGACCGCCTAACTCGCCTAATTAGAGAGCCGCCTCTGCCACTCTACTCCCTCCCTCCTCCAAGCCAACTCACAGCACAGCTCGAGTCTGTGCTTTACCTAGTATAGACTCGATGTGACATAACTGGGGTGTGCACTCCCCTACTTGGAAGCTCAGAAAAGTGGCACTTTGGGACCTGGAGCTGGCGGTGGTGAAATTACAGAATTGGGAGTATATTTACACTAGGAATGCACCAATGCCGGTATTTCGGTATCACGTACGAGTACCGATATTTTTTTTCAGTACTCGCCGATATCGGATACCGGAAGTCCCCTTCAGGAAGCCACTCGGTGTGTAAAGACTCAACACCCGGCTTACCGATTGGCAGGGAAGCCGTCCCCACAATCAGGAAGCCAGACAGCGTGTAATGACTTGCTGCCCGGCTTCCTGATACTAAAAGTATCAGTCTAGGCATCTGAGCATTTGGGCGAGTACGAGTACTCGCCCAAATACTCGGCACCAGCACCAATACTAGTATCAGTGCTTACCTAATTTACACCCAGAGGAACACAAATATTTCCTAAAGAGTCTTTTACAGGCTCCCCAGGATGCATTAGAGTAGAAAAACTAGAGCCTTTAGTACAGCTTTATTGTCAAGTTTATTGTGAATCTCTAAGCAAAACCTTTTTATTTAGCTTTGGAAAGAGCGGGGAAGGATTAAACCTTCTTTCAATGCACCCCTCTATTTGTACTGGTGACCTCTGTCACCAAGAAAGAAAGGGAGGGGAAATCCAAAACTATTTTCCAAAACTATTGTGCCACCGGGACAGGAAGTAAAATATTCCCAATGGTACGCAGACAACAAAAACATTACCTAGCAGTGTTTTAACCCTTCCCTCCTCTTTCCAAAGCTAAAACAATTGTTGGCTATATGTAAGCCCTCACAAGATGTCTCTAACTTACAAGCAGACTTGAATGTACTGTTTGATTTGGGCATTTATGCAAAAAATGTTTAATGTTGATAAGTGTAAAGTTATGCACTTGGGGGCTAAAAATATGCATGCTTCGTATAATCTAATCTGGGTGTTCTGGTAGACTATAGACTATATAGCAGCATGCAATGTCAAGCTGCAGTTTCTAAAGCAAGAAAAAAACACTGCCCCGTCAAAAAAAAGTCCCCACCTAGATTTCAGGCAGTGTTCTTATCTGGGGTTGCTTCAGTTGGTCAGGTTCAGCTGCCTTCCTGAATATACTGAAAGACCAGGTTTTTCCATCAATGGATTTTTTCTTCCCTGATGGCACATTGGGCATACTCCAAGATGACAATGCTGAGATTCATCGGGCTCAGATTGTGAAAGATTGGTTCAGGGGGCATGAGGCATCATTGTCACACATGGATTGGTCACCACAGAGTCCAGACCTTAACCCCATTGAGAATCTTTGGGATGTGCTGGAGGAGACTTTACACAGTGGCCTGACTTTCCCATCATCACTACAAGGTCTTGGTGAAAAATTAATACAACTCTGGACAGAAATAAATGTTGTTACATTGCATAAGCTTATTGAAACAATGCCATGGCGAATGCAGGACATATTCAAAGCTAAAGGAGGTCCAAGAAAGTATTAGAGTGTGTGACTTTTTGGGGGGACTTTCTTGTATTAAAAGACTCCAGAGGGAAGGACATAATCCTGCCCCTGTGCAAATCATAAGTAAGACCCCGTTCACATTGAGCGATTTATCGCGCGGTAATTCCCGCGATATCGTGGCAAATTACCGCGCGATATCGCGCTCCAATGCAATCCAATGGGGCAAAGGGTCCTGGTGTCGCGGGTCGTGTGTCGCTACAGCAGGACCCTTTTTGGAACGGATTTAGCCGCGATTCAAGCTTGCTCAATGCAAGCTTGAACGCGACATCGCGCGGCAAATCTCGCGATGTTGCACGATTTGCATATAGCGCAGTGGGAACGGGGCCTAAGACTTCCATCTGGAATATCTTATTTTAAAGAGATTTCCTTTTCCTGTTGTGTCTATGGGACAGGAAGTAAAGTAACTCTTTCCAAGGGGCTACAGATGGCTTACAAAAATAAATGGACCGGGATTTTAACTATTCTCCACCCTATTAAAAAAAAAAAGTTTAGCTTCAGATGAATAATAATAATTTAAAAAAAAAGTCTACAGAACAATCTTGACAACTCTTCCCATTTTTTTGGGTGGACTTCTTTGAAGGCAAAAAACGAGTCACTTACCTTAAGACCAGGTAATCGCTTCATCATCTCCAGTATGATGTAACAACCAATGGAATGACCAATCAGAATCAGCTTCATGTCAGCCGGAATATTCTTCTGCAGGAAAGAGAGCTTATGCTCGATTTGTCCATTAAGGCCAAATACATCTTCTGCCTGGTCCATATCTGTGCACAGAATTGAAATGAAAATAAGTCAAAGAATGTCAATTGATGCAGAAACATTTATTCTGTCATGCAATGCTGTACTGAAATTAATTTTATACAATTTTTTGGGGACAGATAGAGCTTTCTTTTGGTGGTATTTATTCACCACTGGGGGTTTTATTTTTTACTATATAACAAAAAAAACCTGTTTCCCTATGAAATGTTATGAAACATTTATTATCACCCCAATTTTTTGGTAAAATATAAAAGACGGGGTCACGTCGGGTAAATAGACACCAAACATGTCAAGCCGTAAAATTGCGCGTGCCCGCGAAATCGCAGAAAACTACCATACCCAAAATTGGCCATAGGCGCCGCTTTAAACGCTTTTACCCCTCATCAGTTTAATGTTATCAGTAATAATGGCCCTAAAATTATTGCTCTCACTCCGACGTTCGCGGCGATATGTAACATGTGCGGCGTAATGGGCACAATTGTCGTTTTCGCACATAGGCGCACCCGACAAATGTTTGCGTGTGTACTGTATGTAGGGGGGGGAGGGGACTTTAAAAAAAAAATTGTGTTAATTTTTTAAAAAAAATATTTGTCTTTATTATTGTTTTGCTTTAATTTTTTTAGACTTTTTTTTTTTTTTACACTTTACTTTATTGCTATCACATAGGGGGCTAAGAAACTCCCTATGTGATAGCCAATTCACACAGGCAGGTCCACTTTATGGAGATATCGGGGTTTCCAAGACCCCTAATATCACCTAGGGTCCCTCAGAGAAGCTGCTGAAGCAGAGATCTGCCTCACCAGCTTCTTACCGGCATCTGTTGCCAGAGAGTGACACTGAATGCGTAAATGATGTAATATACATCACTTCCTGCATTCGGGGACAAGAGAGGAGATCAAAGGGAGTTTGTGTACTGACCTCCCTTTGATCTCCAGTAACAGAGTCGCTTTGCCAGTATCTAGAGATCGTCGGCGACGGAGGTACGGGGGGGGGGGCGCACACCCGCAGCTAGTACAAACGATCGGGCGTCTCTAAAGATGCCTGATCGCTTGAATGTAAACAGCCATCACTGGCTGGGTGTGCACCTGACCGGGGGGCAGGGCGGGGCAGGACGTATATACACGCATGCTTACATTCAAGAAGCTGCAGGCCGTGTAAGTACAGCGTCCAGATGGGAGGCGGTTAATAACACAACATTTGTAGGAATATTACAGGATAAAGAAAGCGTAAATATACTAGATTTTTAATACATTATTTGGAAAGATCTTTAATACGTTTTTTTTTATTTTAATGGATACAAAAATCTGTCAGCTGGCAACTTATAAAACAAAAGAGGCAGCAACATTCTTGAATCAGATGTCTGGCTGGCGTGAAGCAGACGGGCATTGATGAGGCAGAATCTGCACAACAGAAAGGATTTATAAAGGCAGAAAGCTTTTGAAAGCTCTGAACAGTGCGGAGATCATCCTGCTAACAGCTAATCCATGTTCTCTCAGTTCTGCTGGCACAATAAGCCAAATGAAGAAACTTGCTGACGTATTAATTGCAGGATAAGGCACCCATCTGAAGTTGTTCACAGTCCAGCCGCTGCATGGTTGCCAGGAACCCTCCAGTAGAGGAATATCATAATATGCAGGACTACGAGCAGCCTGAGATAGATGCTTCATTCTGCATTTCATACATCACTAATGCTCTTAGAAGTATATCACAAGTCAGATAAAAAAGAAGCTCCAGAGTGAACACCTAGATCAGAAGGGCACTTGTCAGCATTGCCAAATCCCATTGCTATTGTGAGGTCCAGCTTGCCGTTAACCCCTTAAGGGCAAAGGCCTTTGTTTCATTTTTTTGCACGTGTTACACCATGTTATAATCCACATTTTAGGCCTGAAAATTACTCAAAACCATTATTAAAAAATGTACTCAAAAAACATGATATATTTTCTAAAAGCCAGCACCCTGTAGAATAAAATGGAGGCAGAAGCAAATTTTGAATGTTGCACGACATTATTGCATCTTATTATCAAACCCAAAAATGTCGTGAAAAATGCACTTAAGTTAAATTTAGTGCCCCAAAACACAATATCATTTTTGTAAAATATAAAAGATGAGGTTACAACCAGTACATAGATACCCAACATGCCCAGATTAAAAATTGTGTGCGTCCGTGAAACTGCGACAGAATTCAGTACCCCAAAACGTCCATAGATGTCGCTTTAAAAGCCCCCACAGGTCATCAGTTTAGAGATACATGTAAATATAGGCCCTAGAATTATGCTCTCACTCTGTTGTGTGCGTCGAAACCCAACATGTTTTCCTACGTAGGCGCACCCGACGTGTGTTTACGGGACGACGCGCATGCTCGCTGGGGTGGGGGACTTTAAAAAAAATGTTTTTGTTATTTTTTTGAATTTATTTAATATTATTTTTAAAAAGTTTTGTAACTTTACTTTAAATGCTATCACATAGGGAGGCTTACTAGCCCCCCATGTGGTAGCATATTGGTGGTGACATATACTCTTTAAGGTGATACCGGGGTCCAAGAGACCCCTAGTGTCATCTTTACACTCTAAATAAGCTTTTGAAATGCAGATTGTACTTCAATAGCTTATTGCTGGGCTTCAGGAGCTGAGCAATGACTGCTATAGGACTGGAAGTGATTCAATACGGGATGTTCTCGGTCCCATAGAATAGGGAGGAGATTAGTAAACAGACGTTCACCGGTCTCCTCCCCAGCTTCCTACCAACACCCGAGAAGCTGGTGCCGGGCCCGTAGGAGGGGCAGTGGAGCCAGGGAAACATGGCGGGGGTGTCAGGCGGGAGGGGGGGGGAGTTTACCGGATCGTAGAAGCGATCTGGCAGCAGCTGAGCCGCCAGAATCGGCTTCTAATGTAAAGCTGGCCACTGGCTCTACATTTATGAACAGGATTCTGTTTAACCCCTTCAAAATTCATGACGGGATTAATCGGGATTATTGTCATGGGTCGTGAAGGGGTAAAAAAAGAAATGCTGATCCAGAGCTTGCTTGTGTGGCCTGAAGCCTAGGTAGACTATGTTATGATACCAAGGGGCCAGTCAGTATTCTGCCAGAGAACCCTTAACGAAAGTTTGGACTGTGTGTTGACCCCAGAATGTGACCTCCAGGCCCACACTGTTCAACTTCTACGAGACTACCCATACACACAGGAGGAGATTGTGGAAGCACTCAGGCAGCACTGGGGCAGATGGTGATTTGGAGCACAAGCCCAAGGTCAGGGCAGGCAGCAGACAAGTGACTCCAGGAAGAAAAAGTCTAGCCAATATATAAAAAGTAATTTGAGGAAGAAAAGTGGATAATGAGCAAAGCCACTGGTGAAAGCTTGGAGACAAATGTGCAAATGTTGCTTGAGTGCTGGATGCTGGAACAAAGTCCCTTTAAATAGGTGATGCGTTTAATTGATTTTATATTTCATTAATGTTTATAATTTAATCATTTGTAGTGTCGCCTGTGATGGACTACAATCTCATGTTTAGTTTACTAATTTGTATTGAGATTGTAGTCCATCACAGGAGTGAGCTTGGAGCGGTGACTACTTTACAACACACACAGGGCCCATGGGGGACAAAAGTAGCCCCCCTCCAGAAGGAAGGACAGTGTCACGACCAATTCAGAGATGATTGGAGGATCTACAGCCGAGTGATACACAAATAAGATACATTTTTGTTAATAGTTAAGGTACTAGAAAGTATTTTTAAGATTTAACTGCTGAGTTTAGTGTCACTTTAACTGTTAGACCTTAGGAGGCCTCTCACTACCACCTCCAAAGTCATCCTTCAAGCCATCCAAACAACAAATGTACACTTAAAAATCGAGGCTAAAAAAATCTTTCATTAGAACCTTTACATAATATTCAAAAATGCATATTTCATATAAAAAGCAAAATGAGTAGGATACTATACACTGAGTGGCCAGATTAATATGACCACCCCATCAGTACTATGTATTTGTTGGTTATGGCATTTTCCACAATTGATGGTGCTTGTAACACATATATGAATCATGTATATGTAAAAATACACTTTTGGAAATTTTATATATTATAATTTATGGTTTCTCAATGCTAAATTTTCCAATTTATACAACAATTTGAATATTTAAATCATTTGATTACTAGCCACGTGTGACTCTAAGATCCAGCTAAAGATATTTAAAACCTCAATATCAGCAAATAAACTTTTATTCTTTTCCACAATCAAATAAAAATGTCTTGTATTCAGCTGAATAACAAAATCAACAGGGTTTATTGTCAGCAAATCAAGATTCGGCTCAGCGCCTATATACTAAGTCCCACCTCAGGGTTAGAGTCCCAGCCTGCTCACGAGGGTACCAGTATGGACACAGGTGCCCCAGCAGTGTCTCGGTAGACGGTATTCCACAGCTTAACACACACACCCATGTGTCCTGCTCCAAACACTCCTCACAGACACCACTGACTGGCTTCCTGTTCCTTTTTAACACACCCTCTGGCTGGTGGGTTAACCCTTTCATTACCAGAACTGGCTGTAGTCAGGGATGGAGGCTCTGTCCCACCCAAAAATCTCTCTGAGCCTCCTGATTTCAGGACCCATGTATATTTAACAACTCTGGGAAGACTGCCTAGCAGTTTCCCATACAAGTCCGACCCCTCACCCTGCTTGGCGAGAACCCTGAATACAAGGTGACCTTAATGGGACCACCACCTAAACAAGGGAGGGATATATCGTCCATCCAGGACCCATTCCTGACGTTCTGTACAACATATACAAACACACTGTATATTTAAAGAAACGCAATGCTTGCTCAGCTTTCCTGTTGTATTGGTCATCTGCTCCATGGTAGACAATGCATGAGTGGCAGCCACTCTGTGTACCGATCCCACTGGCAACCAGCATTAGAAAATGGTGGCTGGGCCACAAAAACTGAAAAATGAAAAATTTGGAAAAGGAGGACAGAAGGGTATATATAAGCTACATGTAAAATATGTTATGC